TGTGTGTGTGTGTGTGTGTGTGTGTGTGTGTGTGTGTGTGTGTGTGTGTGTGTGTGTGTGTGTGAAAGCGAGAGAGAGAAGGGGTATATTTGAATGTTGTGTGTGTCTGCACCGTCTGTTCCATTCGGTAACCTTGGTCTTACTGGCTCTACTGTAGGCTATAAAACATTATGACACTGTGGGAATGTCTCTCTCTACAGGGGTTAGCTTTGACTCCCTCGTACAGGCTTTATTTGACCATTGAATGTACACTTGAAAAAAAAAATCCCTTAGTTTTCTATGTGGAAAATAAGCCAGATGTGAGTTTAATGACAACACAATAATAAACAAAACATTTTCTCTGCTTCGTCGCTAGATTTGAGTAACTTTCAGGAATATAAATAGAACATATAAACTTTGACTGCTAAGCAAAAGATGCCAGCCTTCTCAAATAGACGCAGACATGCAAGCCAATTTATGATATAAAGCCAGAGTAGATTAAAGATTTCATGATTCTTTGCATACTTTGTGCTATAGATACATTTTCTTTAACCAAAAAAGTTTCATGTGGCCATATTAACCTATTTAGGAGCCTCAAGGTGCTGTGGGCCCCTTTTCATCCTCTGTAAATATATTCTACCTCCATACCAGGTTCCTGTAAATAGTGAGAATATATCTGCTGTACTGAAACATTCTTAATATGTCTCTTTACTCAGCTTTATCGTAAATCTATCTGGAAATATTCCGCCAACATGAGAACAATATAAAATAAAACAATTAAAAACTTTATGCACCCGACAAGATGCAGTCCTCTCACAGTATCAGATGCTGGAGGTGTCTCACATACATGCACACACGCAAGCTAAGAATCCTTAATTGTTGGTGCAGCCATGGTGGTACTGGATGCTAAATGTCCATTTTTTATTCTTTTCCCCTTGGACGCCTGCTCAGGTTAACTCGTTTTTCCTTTCTGAACTGAGCGTTTACTCTTGTATTTCACGTCTGCTTCCTGCACCAAATGACAAGGTGTGCATCAGAAGTTAGTGAGGGTTAGCTTACCAGGGCTACCCTTGGAAAACCCCAGAGCCTATTATAATTCTTGTCAAATCGCGTGTTTATTGATATGTAGTGAGGTGTCAAAACATGTCATTAAGAGCACAGGGAGGGTCATCAGATGTCTTTCTGGGGGAAACAGCCCAAAGTTCTTACTAGAATAAAAGGAGCGTGACAGTCTTGAGCCAGAACACACCAAAAACTACACATATTGGTTAAAGGTTTAAGATTTAAGATTTGTCTCTTCTTATCATAACCCTGGATGGTGAAAAATGATGATCATCCAGTGTTTTTCATGTGACCCCCAGAGGTCTTTTCCAACCATTCATACGTGACTAGTTTGGAGTGACAGCCCTTAAATGCGGTTCATCACGGCACAATTGCCAACGAGTATGTGTATCTTTGAGCCGCCACTTTGACTGAACAACAGTATCTGACACTCTGAGACTAAGAAGGAGACATATTTTATTCAATTTTTTAAAACACATTAGTTTGACATGGTTAGATTACCCCAGGCATAAACTTTAGTTAGTTTAGCTGGTGATAAATTTTGCACCTGCAACATCTGTTGTGCTGAAACAATACCTCATACACTCATTTTTTGGGGAACTGATAAATTTATTTGGGAAAATACTGAACACAAGGATGAAAAAGCTAAAGTAGGGTTTTAACAACAGTTAAATATTTATGTTAAAAGGAGGGGCAACGTTTGCTGTAACAATGTGATTAAGCAGTTCATCTGCTTTGAGTCAAAACCAGAAGATAATTCTTAACGTTATGACTTCTGCCAAAGATTTTCTGCTTCTTTCTTTTTTGGCTTCTGCTTTTATTCATCAGCATACTCGTGTTCACAAAGATGGATGCAAAGTCGCTTAAAAGAGCTTTCTTATCTCATGCAGAAAAAAAAAACTTTTCTAAAGCTCTGGTCAATCTGAACTTTCATTTCCAACGTGTCCTGCGTTTTGTCATCGCTGTATGGTGGAAATCTTTTCAGTTGTGTGGGAGTAAACGAACTTTATGCAGTTCTAAAATGCTGAAACTGTTCTCTAAAAACAGAAATTGGCAAAAATGCACCGCTTTCAGAAAGGTGCTGCACAATGCAGTAATTTATTAGAACTGCAATCGCACATGAAGTCACAGACAAACAATAAACTTTGAAAAAAAATCTATAAATAATTTGGAATAAAGGCAAAAAACTCGTAAAAATTTTAAAACTAAAATAAAACATTTCGCCGAATACATGAAGTAATCTAATAGGATTTTTAAAAAAGCATTTCTCCTCTCAGCAACTAACAAAAGAAATAAATACTGAAGTTGTTGGTGTCAGAAAAACTGCGTGAAAAAGGCTTTAAAACACAACTAACGAGGGACAAATCCCACTTCACACCAGTCTATAAAACTCAGAGCAAGAATTATGAAAGTTGATGTCCAATTACAGCAATGCAGCCTGAGTCGTTAGCTCGTGATGGGTTTACCAGGCTCAGGCTCTTGGCCCGACTCTCGCAGGCACAAATTAAGCCCAAAGAATAGGCTGTAAAGGGATAAGTCTTCTTTTTTTAATACCTAAGAAGATTTTTCTGACTAATCATGATGAGGCAGATGTCTTTACAGTTCATACAGAGGTCGCCAGTGCTCATTTTTATTGAATACTCAGCTGTTAGGATTAAGAAAAAGACAAAAGGCAGCTCAGTATTTTGAATCACGTACTTGCAACAAATCACTTTTCTGTATGCAAGTTGTATACCTTATTCCTGAGTTTCTAAGGGAAAAGCATTAATACAAATAATATCATAAAAGTGGTTATTAGTTAGTATATGCTTACATTTTAAGTAAAGCCTGACCTTTTCCTTTGACGATTTAATTTTGCATATCTTTAGGGTTTTATCTTTATCTGCTCTTTTCATTCACAGAAAAATAAACTGATTTTGACCATACAAGTTTTATCCCTGTAGTCTCTGAGGAAGTGCGAAACACGCTACAGAATGATCTCTTTATGTGATCTATGATGCCACAGCAGAAACAGCATTTAAATGCTTTTAAAGGAGCAGCTGATCCCAACATCAAATATTTAAATGTTTGCTACCCTGTACATGATTTCTGTTCATGTTGGAGTGAGAAGGTTCACCAAGGAATTATTTTATTTCTGTACCTCTACACCAGCCAAACATATTGCTGTGATAATGAGAGGCTCCTCCTAGTGTGACAGGATGTAAACATTCGAGCATCTTCCTGAGCTGAGCTCTAAACGTTAGTTAGCCGCATGCTTTATCTGTTAGAAAGAGGACACTTCCTACATGAAGATTTGTCCTTTTCTAGTCCACAATTTCTCCCAACAAGCTGATGCTGCGTGAATGACATCAACTGGCATGGCTTCAAGTACACAAAAGAAAGAGAGAGTAGTTTTCTGGAGGTTTGACAAGTCATGTTTAGAGGCTGTCCCTGTCCCTTTTAATTGTGTATTTTTATTAGACATACCCGCCTTCGAAGATCTTGATGCGTGTCGGTTCAGCAGCAGGCTGTTTGACTGAGACCTCCTTCTCAACCTGCTCCTCCTTTGAACGATCCCATGAAACCACTCCTTTCATCTTCCTCCCAAAATGACTGACATCTACTGGCATCAGCTCTGGCTTCAGCTAAAGAAAAAAAAAAGGTAACATAAAGGGCAGATTAAGATTCTTGCAGTTGTGTTTCTCTGTAGTTTTGTCCATGCGTGCATAATTCAATATTTCTCTTGGCAATCTTTTATCATTCTGATGACTGCAGCACATACCTGATCAAACCGCAGCTTCCAGGCTACAGAAGAGACCAGTTTTCCAGAGCTGGGTGGAGACATGGCTGCCGTTGTGTACATCAAATCAGTGTTCCTCTTCTGTTTGGACCGCAGCAGAGCCAGTGAAGCCTTGGTACTCAGGTTCAGAGGATTGGGATTGTATGAGCTGACACACCATGAACTGTAGACGGAGCTACGCAAAGCTGCCTGAGTGCTGTTGGGTTTGGTGTAGTTCAGGAAACACCAGCTGACTCTGCTCATCGTGCGTAAGCTTGGGAACTGGAAAAGCTGCTGGACATCCGCCACATCTGTGAGCAGCAGAGTCTGACCCGCTGCTCCGGGTAATCCTGGGCTTTGGTTGGCATCGAGCTGAACCAGCATGCTGACAGGCATTTTATTTGAAGTAGGTTGCTTCGTGCTGTCAGCATCTTCTGCGTCGTTAGAGGAAACCATGGACTCTGGGCTGGAGCTCGGCTCTTGGGCTGAATCGTCCACGTCAAGCTCCTCTGGGGAGTCGCAGCCACCTGAAGCTGGAGAACGGTCTGTGACAATCTGGAGCGGAGGGGTGAAGCTCTGAGGCCGAGGGACGTCAGAGAGATGGGGGGCAGAGGAACGGACAGGAATGGCAATCTTGGTAGCAACTGGGAAGTCACTTAATGGAGGAGAAGAGGACATCCTTTCAGAATCATCCATGGAGCCTTCGCTCTTCAGACCTCTTCCTTGTCCCTTGTCAGGCTTGCTGCCACCTTCAGTTCCACTTAGCTCCACAGCACTCATCTCCTTGACAATCTGTCCATACATCCTCTCCTCCTTTACTCTTTTCTGTTGCTTAGTCTCGATGAAGAGCTCAAGTGAGCTGGTAGGAGAGAGCATGCGCTTGCCCCCTCCGATAGCAGACCCTGAGGCATCTGTGGTGGATATAGTGCCTGATGTTAGTGATAGGGGGATCCCTGTGTTTAGACGTTGCTCTGGTAGTGAATCTGGACCCTTCCAGAGTGGGTGCCGCAGCACTGCACCATCTGTCTGCCCTAGGAAATGTGCTAAGTTGAAACCTCCTCCAACTCCTCCATGTGGCTTTGTGACACTCACAACACCAACCGGGGGAGACATGTTGCTGTTGTCAGTACTGCCTGGCCTGGCTGAACCCAAACCTTGTGCTCCACTACCATGAGAAGCTATCAGCTGGCTAACACTGGTGTACATAACACTACCAAACGATGGCACATGGGTTTGGATCCGTACAGGAACCAGCAAACCAGGCAAAGAGGCCTGTGAGCCCAGGTTCTGGGTAGCAAATATGGGTTGGATCTGTTGCAGAAGCATGGAGGAGGTGGTGGACAGCGAGGCTGACAGAGGAGAGCTGCGATTTGAAAAAGAAGCAGAGTAAATCTGAGAGGTTGGATTTTCTGATTTTCCATCATATGGCTGTTGATCGTGGACTTGTTGCAGGGAGTGGAGTGGCTGCTGTTTGTGAAGTGGGAGACCGGGTGACCTGATGTGGAGTTTTTGGAGTTGCAGTTGGGCCTGCTGGGTCTGCTGCTGTCTTGGTGTCTGTTCAGGCTCCTGATTCCAGAAGAGGCCTGGTTGTGGGAAAGAAAGGAAAGGAGGGCCACTCTGGTACTGCTGCATCATATCTTTACTCATGACCTCATGACCTGGATGCTCTCCCTCTGATGACGAGCTTTGGGCCTGCAAGCGATGCTGCTGGGACCTATAGAGGACAAAAACATTACAATTTTGCTGAAGGCTACAGCAATTTCTGACATAGTACTTGCAGTAATAAATGTGACCCTAAATACAACCATAAAAATGTAATGCAATGATTTTCAAATAATGTAAAGCCTCTTAAGAGAAGTTACAACCAAAATAATAACATTTCAAATATTTATTTTACAGAAATGTGAGAAAAAACATTTTGTGGTCTAAACAATCAAAATCTTAAATCTCTTTTAAGAATTCTTTGGTGTTCTGTATTCAGGCTTTCTTATCACCACAAATTTAAAGGCCAGCATCCATGATACTACTTTCAACTTTAAATTCTATGCAATTCACTACATTCTGTTCTCATTGCGTTATTTTACACAGTTTCCCAGATGTTTTTGAAGCAGGGCTGTACTATTATTATTTTAGGTTATTTCTCTGTAAGTATATTTTGTCTGACCTGCTATAGAGAGGTTCCTCTGGAAGGCTGTCTTCGCTGACACTCTGTTGGAGAATATGCTGGTGGTGCTGTTGATGTTGGTGAGGTCCTATATCTGTGCATAAAATGCATACATTTGAAAAGAATACTCATTTTACAAAAGTAAGCTATAATAGCAGAATGCAATCCATGCACGGAAGGATGTGGGTAGTTTATTGAGTCGAGAAATTTTTCAATAAAAGTTTGGGAAAGTATGATGAATAAAGTATAAGACAAAAAAAATGTATAGATAACATACTAAGATGAATGTGAAGCTTACCAGCACCAGTCCCAGTTCTCTTGGTTCTGCTGACTGCTTCGCTGCTGCCGTGAGGGGATCCTGCTGGACCAGGCCATCCGCCATGCTCCAAACTCTCCTGTTTGATTGACGTTTCTGCGCCCCCTGGCTCCTGGGTAACTGCCTCTGGATAAACACTCAGTGAAGCCTGCCAAATGCAGAGAAGTGTGGAGGGAAAGTGGTTTAGCTTTAATAAAATTATATTTGGTTAGCTTGACTAAGGATACCATATAAACCTTAATATAGTGCATGATAACATTGTGATTGGCATTGTATTGAGATGATAATGTCGGTATAGCATGGCATCATTAGGATGTCTTTGAATGAAGCTGATGGGGGTGCTAAAATACCAAATTATTTTGTAGTGCCTTCATCCTTAATAAGCTCCTAGTCCTCTTCTTCCATCTAACTCAGAGTTTTTAAATGTTCAGTTGAAGAAGTTGCGGGGGTTGTTTACTTTACTCCAGCTCTTTTATTCCATGCATTGTCACTGACAACTTCTGTGTTCTTTCTGAGGAATACAAATGGCACACGACCAAATTCATCTAAATATGAGTTAATCGTTTATACACTACCTGTCTAACAAGATATCCACGCCGACGTTCCTTCATTGCAGAAGCACTGGAGTACAGTTCTCCCTGTCTTGAGGTTGACAAGCTTCCATAGTCAAAGGATTTACTGCGCATTTCAGGCAACTCCATAGGCAGCGTGCATGGTGCCTGTTCTGATGAAGACCTCCTCATTTCCCTCTGCTGGTGGTGGCTAGAATAACCACTGCCTGGCACAGTCAGGAACTCTGATTGCTTTGGTCCACCACCAGATACTGAAGAATCATCCTTTACAGAAACAAAGAGACAAAGTTTCCACTTTGTTCAGGATGCAAACCCCTCAGTAAAGAGCCTACTATAAAAGAGACGTAAATGCACTTGAAATTACTAAAAAATGGGGTACCTGTTTTGTTGGTGAGACAGACTTGAGACCTTCATCTCTGTCAAATGACATGGAAAGGGAAGAGGAGTGGGACAAGTTACTCTCTTGACTGGGGCTACGAGAAAGGCTGGTGCAGGTCGATTCAAAGCTTGATTCTCCAGATGAGTGTTCCATGTCTGCTAGGCGGAGCCTCTTCTTCTTGGGTGGGAGCTTTTCTGATGGCATTTGGGATAGTGTGTCGCTTCTCTGTGGCAACTGAAACTCCTCGACATGCTGCTGCTTCTCCAGCTCCTTGATCATTGGAGCTTCTGTGTCCTTATCAGGCTTGTCTGGCTCCTCTGTCACCCTGATTTCAGGAACCTGGATGTTTGGTTGTCTGACTAGTTTGGGTGGGATATGATAAGGCTGTCCAGGTGAGGCTGCAGCTGATGATGATGAAAGGGAGGCCAAGTCACTGTCACTTTGTGGCTGCTGCTCCATGCTCTCTGTCCTCAGAAGGGTGGATTCAGGACTTAGAGCATCTTCAAAGATCTCTGTGTCAGACTGCTCAGAGTACTGAGTACATGGAGCTTTATCTGAAGGCTGATATGCTGGCTGTTCAAAAGACTCTGACTTGTCGAAGGAATTTGGACGGCTGAGAGAGTTGGTGTGCTGGATAACTGATATGACATTCCCAGCTGTTTTTCTGCCCTCAGAGTCAGTAAATAGTGCAATGTCCTCGGAGCACATGCTGGCACAGGTGTCAAAGCTGTCAGACTGACTGTGTGCACTATGAAGGGAACCTTTACCTGTTGGGGTGGCTCTGGACCCATCAAAACTACCTTGTTTAAAGTCATAGTCCCCTATCATTTCCACTGAACCACTACAGCTACTGTCGCAGTGTCCAGGGCTGTCCTCATCATCCCCAACACTCTTTTCTTTCCTCCTTTTTCTTGTGGCTATTTCTGACATACTAACTTTAGTACCATAACTAAAGGCAACATGTTCTGGAACTCCTGGGCCGCGTTCACCAATCTTCATACCCAGAGACGAAGTTAAATTCTTAGGTAAGTGTCCAAAGCCCTCGGCCTCTCCTACGTGGGCTTCATTGGTTGAATTTTCAAATGCACTCTGTCTTGTGAGCCTACGATGGCCTGGCGGGTAAAACACATCATCTGTCACAACATTGTCAAAGGATTGGCTACCCCGTATCCCTTGGGGAACACTGAGGTTAGGAGGGGTGGAAGTTGGCATGGAGTTACTCCTAATAAGATGCCCAGAATCTGATGGAGGCTCTAGAAGTCCTGTACTGCTTTGACATGGCCCAGTTGGATACTGCTTTGGATCTTCTGAGATTCCTACATCTCCTCTAAAAGAGATGTGATCCTCAGCTATCTTCCCTATTTCCAGAATTGCACCAGGTTGCTTCAAGGTAGTCAAGCTAGTGGGGTCTGCCCCTGCCATGCCTACTGTTATAGAGTGTCTTGACCTGGAGCTTGGTCGGTAGTACCAAGTTCGACCGAACATAATCTCCTCGTACGTCTTGACGTTGGTATTTGGAGGGCTGATCTGCTGCTCTGCGCTCTCAGAGCGTGAAAAGTAGCCAGAGTCTGTGCTGCCTTTGCTGTGAGGACTGAGGAGGTTAAGTGACTGGGACATGGCAAGGTCAATGTCCTGTCCTTTTTTGTCACTTAGCCTCAGGGCCAAACGTTGCTTGATTGTTGGGGAGTCATCCAGGGAACGTGCTCTTCCACCAGCCTTTGAAGCTAACATGTGGTGTGACACTTTTATGTCATGAAAGGGGGGGCACTCCATCCCTGTGGAGGGGACTCCCCCAGGCTTGGGAACGATAAGAATAGGCACTTTCATAGATCCAATGGGTAGCTCTTCAGGTGAATCTGCATATGCTGGTTCGGCACCACCTTTATAGTGGGAAAAATGAAGATGATACAGATTACAACCATTCACAGTAAACAAAATACATGCAGAGTTTATATCACTGTAGCTGAACTGCGTAACAGCATTATTGTAAACCAATACATTTTTATTTTGGATCATTGTAAACATACCCATAACAAATAGTATTTTAAGCATCAAAAGATGTTCATAGATATAAAGAACTAGCTACGTGTTAAGAAGGGGTTTCTATGAACCAAAACTGTTTTGACTCTTTGGGAAAATTCTACTTAAATTTTTTTTTTAAGTGTCTTATAGAAGAAAATAACCTGTATTCTTGTCAGCTTCAAAGGAGATCTGCAGGGTTGGACTGTCTTTGTCTGTTAGCATGGTGGTGGGCTCCACGCCTTCCTCATCCGTATCGGTACTCTGCTCTCCATCTGAATGGACCTCAGCGTCACCCACTGGTGATGCCTGGTCCATGTCCCCACTACGGGCCACAGCTAGCTCTGAAAATGGTACGAGTCCAGCTTTGATGGCATGAGCATGGGACTTGCGATGCTTGTAAAGGTTGCTCTTGGTTTTGAAAGAAAAGCCACAGGGTACACAAGGGTATGGCCTCTCTCCAGTATGTGAGCGGATGTGCTTCTTCAAGACGCTGGGCTTGGCGCACGCTCGACCACAGTAGTGGCAGATGTACTTGCCAGGCTTTTTTGGCTTTTGCTCTTTTTTGCCATAGGCCTCCTCTCCGGGCTCCGGGCCTGACTGAGAATACTGTCCAAAGGAGCTGGGTAAACTAGGAGATTTGTGCCGAGGGAACCTCCCTGCACCAGCCCCATGTGGGTGAGTGTGTCCTGGGTGTCCTGGGAATAGGTCATCCGAGGGCAACTGGCCAGCAAATGGCCAGGCATGAGGCTCTAGGCCTGGCTGTGGTTTGGCTCCTGAGAGAAACCGTTCAGATTGAGGATGTTGAGGGTATGGCTGGCCAAGTTGGTAAGGATATCCCCTGTGGAACCCCTGAGCAAAGGGGCCTTGTGGGTCTTGAGATGGCGGGCCTCCTATGGCCCCAACTGCAGATGGTCCAGATAGCAGCTTTCCAGAATTCCCTGTGATTGGGTACTTCTGCTGGGGTGCTGATCCTCCAGGAGCCTCCAGGTCAGCAAAAGTGCTTCGTTTGGTGTTTGCAGAAGGCTCTGACGCCCATTTTCTTTGTAGAGGTACCTTCTCCCTTGCTAGTTCCTTGTTTGGACATTTCTGCCCTGTCGCAGGTGATTCACGAGCCTCCATTTTCTTGAAGCTCTCCGTGGTTTAGAAGAGGGAGAGAAGAGGGGATGCAGGGAATTTGGGAGGGTAGGTCTTTGAGGGTTACAAGGTCCCGAAACTACCAGGCATGATAGCGGAACCTTTGCTGGCTGCCAACAAGTTCACAGAAACATAAAATATCCATCCATTTCTCAGAAAGACTGATTATAGAGTCAAGCTGGAAACAGGAATTATCAAGTGGAGCAGAAAGAGGAGCTTCAGTGGATAACATCAGAGAGGTTTCTCTCCTTCTGCCATTTTGTAAAAACACGAACGCTGCTCTCTGTTGTTCTTCTGTCCAGTTCATCTAAGAGCAGAAGAAACCTTAAGTGACCTGCAGAGGGACAGAAAAAGAAAAGAAGAAGCACATGGAGAACATTTTAGGCAAATACTGTAGTCAACAATTGTAATAAACTGTGTTTAACAACATACTCAATTACTAACTTTTCTTGAGGGAAGGGTGCTTGTAGATCCTTCAGTCCTTCAGTTTTCTCACCAAAAGACCTAAAGCAAAGCAAAAGAGAGAAAAGGCTAATTAGTGTTGTGTACAAAAATCATCCAACAATACAGTAATCAGATACACAGATGGTAAATAACCTTTAGTCTGACATCACCCTTATAACATAAGTCGGATTGGTGTTGATGTGACATTTTTTTCTGCTAAATTCAGCACGCTACCACATACTTTGTTGTGCAGAGACAACTCACTAAGTTGTCAAGTACATGCCTGATGTGCGAATATAAATGTCATTGATTGCTCAGTTAGTTTCTTCACACTGGATTCCATCTGTGCTTGTTGCCTTTTTTCACTCCTTTCTCCTCCCTCCCGCCCTCCCTCCTCCTTCCACTCAGTGAGTCACCGATGAAAAGCAAACCCACACTGTTCCTAAAGAGACACAAAGGCTTATAAATAGCGCTGTGGAAGTGACGTCGGAGTGTCATAATATGTGTAGGCGTCCAAAAAGGCCAAGTCGAAGAGCAGCAATCAGCACTAGCACCTTTTCTTCCTCTCTGGGTTACATCTAACTTGGTATGCACTTGGTTGAAAAGCGATCATGAGAATGCTCACAGATACGCAGAAACAAAAGAAGACACACACAGATGTAGACAGAGTGCTTGCAGGCACTGTAACTGCACTGCAAAACTGCAGTAGACAGTGTATATGTGTGTGTTTCCGTTGTTTAACGTTTCTTAACCACACCAACACCTGACAGCAGAAGGGGCACAGAGCCACAGAGCACATATAAACATGCATGCTGAAGTTGCATTTTTGCTTTGTATTTCCTCATCTCAGAGTTTAAACAACCTCCCTCACACTCTGATTGCGACAGAAACACACACACACACCCACACTGTGGCCTCAGTGCTGGTAAGCAGGGCTCAGTGACGTTTGTGTCTGGGGGCCCAACGTGAGACCTATAAATAGCACCGGAGGAAAACATGTTTTATTCTTAGCAGCAAGAAAGTTAAATTTAAGTTAACTTGTGTTTTTCACATGTACTCCCCAAACCCCTACGCCCACTCAGAAAGACAGACAAACAAATACCAGAAACATTATCTCAACCTTGGGTCATATCTTTGTGTTTTCCATGGTGTTAAGAGTGAAAGAATGTGGAAGAAAACTCCAGTTGGGCAACAATGGGGATTCAATTGAGTTTAGCTAGCATTATAATCCGGTGATGCTGATTGGTTAGCATTATGGTCAGCTGACACAAATGCAGCCAAAGGCAGACAATCTTGGTGATTACTACAGGGGAAGTATGGTACTAATAATAGTCAAGGCAAGGCACAGCTTTTTTTAAGACCTTTCACAGTGTGAATCCAGTAATGTGAATGGCATAATTCCCTTATGTTGAAACACTCCAGTATCAATGAGTCATGGTTCATGTGTCCTTTGACGCCTGTAGCACACATCGGATGTGCCAGTGTGCACATCAGCAGAGGATGTGCCAAAGAGGAAAGTGGATTAACGTCAGTTCTGGGTTAAACACGAGTCCAGAGTGAGTTGAGATTAAAAGTTTGATTTAGCTGTCAAAACAGCTTGGTCACTGAACATACAGAATATAACTCTACACATGAGGATAATGGTCCGAGATCCTGTTCAAAGTAACCAGAAAACCTTTGATTACTTAAACATTCATAAAAGCTGACATGACAAGAAATTCCCAGACCAGCTTTTATTATTATATAGTTTGTAGAAGCTGGATTGGCTTGAGACTTCCTGTTCCATCCTGCGGTCATGTTTTATAAATGCACATACATTTTCAAGAGCAATACGAGGTAATTTCACCCTCAGACCATATCTGGTGATTTTGAGACAGCTTTTCAACAACTGTGATCTCTCTGTTTCTGGACCCATCCACACGTCTTTCCTTTTTGGTTAATCAATAGGACTTTAACTGAAAGCAGAACACTTTGCTTAACAAAAAAGTTGCCCTTGTCTACAGATTGTTTAATATTTATATGCAAATATGTGGTTTGTAATTATCAGAGGTGTTTCCTGCCTTAGGCTTTCCACGTATGAGCAAGGAAGGGCACGGAGGTCACAGAACAGAGCTGCACCATCATTAAATATTGGAGATAGACATTTTTGACTGAAGGGATTCTGTGTTCCCTCTTAAGCCCATTGGGAACCATATGTCCTTTATTATTCTTTTGACCTAGCAATATACCTTTACACAATTTCTACTACTTGCTGTGGCTTTTTGAAGAGATCTTTTAAAAGCACCCAAGATGACTTCGACTCAGTGAATGTTTCACAATCCTATCTTAAAAAGCCGCATATGGCTTCCTTAAAAATCATCTCCAATAAAAAAAAAAGACAAAAAATCACTTGACTTCTACTGTACCTCTTGTTGCCATTTGGAGGTCTCATATGGATGAACCTGCCAGTTGCAGCTGTAGTAGCTGCTATCACGCACACGTCAACATCCATCAGAATTCAACTCACACCCCACAAATAAACCAGCGGTGAAACTGACCTTTCAGCTTACATGGTTAACTTGGCTTAACTTCCCTTCAACCTTATGCAAGGTGACTGGTTTTGTAATGAAAGTTTTGAATGGTCACAATCTGCTGTGTGAGTGGGAGCCTGTAGTGAATGGCTTACATAAAGCTTTATTCATACATTCACCGACACAACCTGCCCCAGTTCCTGTGCGTAGGAGAGACATAGCTACTGGCGCTGTTTGTGTGTGTATGAGCGTGGGAAGTATACGTGCCAGTTGTGTGTGTGTGTGTGTGTGTGTGTGTGTGTGTGTGTGGGCTGGCAAAGGGCATGACGAGACACCCAAGTTGTAGGTAGGTCAAAACTAAGTACATTCAGAGGCTACACTCAAAGATAAAAATAGTAGAAGTGATACACACTCAAACACTTGTAAAAAGTGATCTATCAAAATGCCCCAAATAAACACAGTTACTTAACATAAAGGAGCAGAGATCAGCTCTGCTTTCATAGACATGGAAATAGATCTAGGCAGTGTTTTATACCCACGGCATGCTTTACTTGGAACAACACACTCGATCTAAGTTTTTACGTTTGTGTGTAGGCAAACTGAATGGTCCTCTTTTCAGTAAGCATGATAATGTGCCCTCAATCCTCCAACCAAAACACATTTCACACAACATTAAACACAACATTTAAAGACAGTTTTAAGCACACTACATGTGCTGTTTGTATGAATGCAGAAACCTCCACGAATTTACTGAAAACGTGTTCAGGTGTTTTCTCAATAATAAAGAATTTGGAGCTTTAAAATATCTATATGAAGGTTAACACATGTATTGATGAAACCTGTTATATTTTGCTTGTGTTATATAAGATCTATACAACCCACCTGCTGTTCAAATCTTTTGTTTGTGAAATGCAGCCAATCAGAAGCTATAGTAAAAGGAGAGGAGCTAACATGATAGTGGATGAGCTGAAGGGCTGCACCCAAGGCTGGTCGGTATAAGGAATAAATAAGGATTAAGTGAACTGCGTCAAATGGCATAACGCTGTACAATGCCATGAATAAGTGCATCCAGCTAAAACAACATAGTCAGATCCTCAGAGACATTTTCAAAGAGCAACATGGAAACATGAAGGGGGAAGGTCATTATTAGGAGGTATGAGGGGGTGTTGTTGGCTAGAGTCAATTTCAGATCATGGTCCGTGTTCAGTTTGTCCTTGTCTCACTTTGCTTCTTACTTTTGCTCTTCTTGATTTAAGGTACCTGGTTAGCTTGTGGTTCTGGAATTAGATTAGTCTCCTTTCTCAGTGTCAGCTATACGTCCTGAAGAATTAGACTTAAAGGTACTCAGTGTGTTTAAAAGTGATGACAAGCAGTCTATAGAGTGTATGAGGAGCTGAAAGTGAAACTCCTCTCACCGTTGCCTTCACCCAGACCTTGTTTGAACTGGCAGTTTTACCTTGGACATGAAACTTGGCACCTTTTCAGCAGTTTGTTGAATCCATCCTCTAGCTTTGTCCTGCTGGGATCTTTCCAACACACCTGTCCTTTAAAACTGAGGAATTCAAAAGGATATTGCAACTACTTCTCAATATCCCAGTTTCCTTGTACGGGAATGCCCTCAGACCTCTTGACAGACTGCTTTACAAAATAGAAGTTCGATGGAAACTAATTAAATAAACATGTTGATATAAATTAAGCAACAAGAGATTCAAGAGAATTCATGTGCTTGCAGGTATGTACAAGTAGACTCATATGCACATATGCCCAAACCCTGGAGGTATGAACACTGTGTGGGCATTAACCACGCAGTAAGAACAAAAGGCTGTGTGTGTGTGTGTGTGTGTGTGTGTGTGTGTGTGCTGCTCTGTGAAGTGTGTGGGAGGCTGTTCAATCCTGAGGGCTGAAGGCACTCTCTCTCTCCCTTTCTCTTTCACTCGATTTCATCCGACTTATTGGGAAGACAGTTGGGAATAATGTTGCCAAAACGACAAGATAATAGATCAACATTTGTACAAATCCCTTCCCTCCTTGAATCATTATGAGAGTATGCATGCATCACTAACACACCCACATGCACGCTCACCAGTAATCCCTCTCCTACAGTGTCTTGTTCAGATATGCAGTAGATAAGCCTCTCATTTACTTTCAGTGAAAGAAACAGTTGAGGACAGAGCTCTGTGTGTGTGTGTCTGTGTGTTTGCGCGCGTGTACGTGTGGCTAGTTATTCTTAAATTGGCCCGCTAGGGTGCTGCATACCAACTCAAATGGTTGGAATTCCTGTGACAAAAAAACAGAGAGAAAGCATATTTGCGAGTGTTTGTCTTGCCCTGTCTGTCACTCATTGCATAATATATTTGTAAAAAAGACACAAGCAGAATACAAATTAGATCCCTGTTCCATATTTGATACTCTATGATTAAGACTAAAAGGATAAAGAGGGAGAACACATGACAAAGATGCAGGGAGGGTGCAAGGAAACAGAAAGGGAACAATCATACAGGACACAAATGAGGAAACAGGTATGGATTATAGGATAAAGAAGGAACAAAG